GTCAATAAAGGTGCATTTTCTTGTTGTGTATATATAGAAGAGAAGAAAATTGGGCAGGAAACTAGTTTAATTTGTGTCCAAGAAGGAGGAAAGGTTGCTGGTGTTGTAACCACTTCCACGGCTCAGAGATAAAGATGATGCATTACCCACCATGAAACTCAAAGACTCCAGCCAGCCACGGGATTTACGTGAATGACAGTAAGTCTGTCTTTGACTAAAATAATTTTTCAACAATATCCGTGACTCTAATAACAAAAAGGAAATGTGGGCATGTATTTATAAGTTTTAAGTTGTAGCTAATGGGCTGCTCTTGTATTTATGAGTTGAAAACCAGTACTGTGGTTTTGTGTCATGGCTAACGTGTGTTGTTCCATTGAGATGGAGCCTAGAACCCTGAACCAAGGCCAACTCAATCATGTCAGGGTATATGCCTCTTGTTTTGTTATCACTGTTGTTTCGAATACTAAAACTGAAATGCCATTTTTTTGGCTGCAGGAAATGGCTGCTCAGAAGATTGAACCAAATGAAGCTGCACCCCAGGTCTGCTTTCAAACAAACCTTGTAATTTAGTGTGTGCTTTTTTAATTACTCTGTGATGAATATAAGATGGCATATGTTCAAAGACTCTCGATCATTTGACATTAAACGCTCATACTACATAGGCGGTACTCGAATTCAAGACCCCAATAGAAATAAGGTCATGTAATAAACCGACTATTTTAATTTCGATTGATGTGGTAAGTAAGAGGGATGGGTTTGTTGCAGGGAATTGGAGGTGATGAAGTAAAAGAAGTGGTGATTGAGGAAGAAAAGGCTGTGAATACGGTGGGAAGACCGTGCCAATGCGAAACTCTACACATTGAATCACCAGATCCCCACTTGAACAATCCTGTTAAGGAGCCTCTTACTGCCCCTTTTTGATGTTCCTATTATTATTATTATTATTATCATCATTTTGCTACTTCTCTTCCTTTTGAGGTTCAAAATGCTCAATGAAGAGCACAAAGTGTTTCATTTTCTAGGCAGGCTTTGATGCTTTAAATAAGTGTTGTAATTTTGTTCACAAATAAAATCTTCAGTTACTATTTTGATGATATATAAAAGTACAAAGCTGCTGGGTCGGTCTTTGTTTTATAAAACAAAGACTTTTGTAAACCCTTCTAAAAACACAACTTTAGAGTTAATGTTCAAAAAACACTGAAATCAAAAGTCGATTATAAAGGACTCTTAATATATCATTTTATTAATTATATATTATCTCAAATTTTAAAATTTTTTATATTTAATTTTGATCCCTTGAAATCAAATATGACAACATATTTTATTAATGGAATGAACTTTATTTAAAATAAAAATTGAATAAAGTTTTTAAAAATTAAAATATTGTAATTCACGAGTTTTAAAAAAATATCATTTTATTATGGATAATTAACTAGATCATATTTTAATGATATTATTTTTTGAATCGTTTTAATAAAAGAATATTATCCACATAATAGGATAATTTACAAAAAAAAAATCACATTTTCTAATGTCACATGGTAGTCCATATGTCTTGCATGATACTGTAGCATTCGTCCTACTCCAACGAATAGCTTTAGTTCGACATTATTTGAGTAATTTTTTTACACTGTATTATTCAAAAAATTTAACAGCCTATATATATATATATATATATATATATATATGTAAGTATCAAATAAATTCTAATTCAATATTTTCACCTAATAAATGCATTCACATTTTCACTTTAAAATCTAAACTTAAATCTTTAAAACCTCTCATTGAAATTTAAAATTCTAATATATAATGAGATTCAAATATGATAATATGCTGAAGTTGCTAAAAATATGATTGATTTAAAATACTAACCTTAAATATTATAAGGGGTAATAAAATTGTTATTAATTTGTCACTTTACGTATAACACTGTGTTAAATATTATTTTAAATAATTACATTTTTACAATAATATTTTTATCCCATAAAATTATAAATAGTAAATATATTGAATATTAAAACTATAAGTTATTTTAAATTTTCAAATTTATTAATATTTTATTAAATTAAACTCTTTGTATATTATTATTATTATTATGTTTATATTTAAGAATTGATAATGATCATTATAAAAAGAATTCATTAGTTTAAGGGTATTTTTAACCAAAATTGTGAGAATTGTGTAATACCTAAGAATTTGAAGGTAATAACATTCTCACCATTTTAACAAAAAAAATGTTACAATTAAAAAAAGATTATTATCGGGTAATAATATTTCCCGTGAATCAAACGTGAAAATGCAACTTCAGGAAAATTATTTATTTTAATAATAATCTTTTCCGCAAGCCAAATGTAATCTAATAATCTTAACAAATTCAATCCTAACTCGTACTGGATATAACAACTTCATCAAATTGAAAAAATAGGGCTGAAATCAAATTGAAACTAGCCCACTCTAATAACCCAACTAAAATCAGCTTTCCTCTCTAATATGCACTTCGATGGGTTTGATTTTTTCACAACTTTTTTTTTTATTAAGGATATTACCCAAATGAACTTGTTGAATCTTCTGAATATTAAAATTTATAAAATACTTATCTGATTATAAGATATTATTTTGTTGAGTATTCTGAACATTAAAAATTATAAAATGATCACTCAGTTATTTATATGTTTCAAACTCGTCTTTTTCCGTTAATCGCGACCGTCTGAATTAGATGTTAAATTGTTTACTGAAATATGATAAAATTTGATCTCAAAACCGTTTGAGTTGTATTTGTTAGAAAGACTCTCCGTTTATATTATGTATTCTAACCAATTTTTGACATATTATGTCATCGAGCTAGTGCTTGAAAACAATAATAGTGCTATTGGACATCATTAAAACATGATTTTAGTATATCTTAATCAGTAGGTTAACGTCCAACTTCAGACGACCATCAAACTTTTTACAGAAAATTATGAATTTAAAACGTATAAGTAGTCAAATAATAATTTTATAATTTTTAATAATTGAAATAATCTTCAAAACAATACTTTATAGTCAATACAACTTCTATAATCGGACGTCCTTCTAATAATTATAACACTATTGGAATTTATATTTTAACAAGCACTTCGATAAAATCATCATAAAAACAAAAACACTACTCTTTTGGTTGACTTCTCCACATATAGCATTGGTTGATAATTAATTAATTAATTACAATAAAAATACTCTTTTAATTTATTGACTTTTCCATATGTAGCGTTTGGTTGATAATTAATTATGCTATTGTACATCATATCGCAGGGTAAGTTTTGGACATTTATACAATTTAATTTCTTTCGTTTTCTCTTTCCAGCTTACTTTTAAGATTTACGTTTATCAAAAAAAAATAATTATATCTTAAGTTTGTTAGAAAAATGTTAAAATAAATTGGTTAGGATGATCACCTTCACCTTTACAATATCCGATTTAAATGAGTCGATCAATATATCGAATAGTAATAATTAATTAAAATAAATAAATAACACCCAAAAATATTACTATCCTACAAAATGGGAACTTGTAAAAATCGTAAATTATTATTTAAATAAAATGTTTAGATAATAAATTACGTTTGCCTCTAAATTTAATGCTTTTGCAGGTTGTTGTTGACACTGATCTGTCCTTGTTGTTTGTGCGTGACGGTGCCAGTGGAAATGGCGCTGGAGTTGGTCAAAGCTCCATTTCGTGTCATGGAATCATGGTTTTTAGAATCGGATCGGTTAGTGAACCGATCATACTATCAGTTCACTGGTTCAACAGTTTGAACTGGTTTAATCGGTCGGAAGAATCGGACGGCGTCATAATTATTTAAAAAATTAAATAAAAATATTAAAAATATTTAATAAAAAAATAATTTTTTATATCACAAGTCATAACATATATAAGTTAAAAACTATAAAATTAAGTGAAATAAAATAATTCAAATTAACTACAACATAATATTTAAGGTAAAACATATTAAATAATAAAATATAATTATATAACTATAATTAAAAAATAAATTTGAGGCTAAAAAAATCATAACAAAATGATATTGTTTGGTTTAATTTTTTTAAAAAAACAATCTCACATGACTAAGAAACATAGAAGAGCATCCCAAAAGTCTAAAGAGTAAAAATATGAAAACAAAACAATCTCACATGGCTAAGAAACATAGAAGAGCATCACAACTAACTTCTATAAATAATAGAGGTAATTTAGCATTCAAAATCATGGAGCCTTTTGGTGAGCATTGAGTGAACTATTCCTTCACTTCAATCAAGCTCGAATTTTAGGCTTCAATCGAGCTTCTAAATTTTTTTTTTGAGTTCAAGCCTTTTTTAGTTCAAGTTTTAATATTATATTTCGAGTTTGAGTTGAACTTGATAATTTTTAGCTCGTGAGTTTGAGTCGAGTTGAGCTTACTTTTAAAGTTTTCAAGTTCGAGTCGAGCTCAGCAATACTCGAGTTCGACTTGGCTCGTTTAGCAAACGACATCGTTTGGTTTAATTTAAAAAAAAAAAATTTCCCATTTTTTTCAATTTTCAGCCGGTCCGGTTCGAACGGTTCAACGGTTCTGGCCGGTTCACTAGTAACGGTTCAATCGGTGTATATTGAACCGGACTAGATAACGGTTCCCGGTTGAACCGGTTGAATCGGCCGGTCCGATCCGATTTTCAAAACAATGCATGGAATGGTTCACCCAACAGATCCCTTGTTAATAACCTCTGCTAATCTAAAGTAAACCGCCTGCTCTGATCTGCTCTGATTTTCCTGCATATCTTTGCCAGTTATTTGTCTGATGAGCTTAACGGTGAAATTTAGGCAAAGTTCCACTATTGTATTCTTGACTATAGATAATGGGATTTATTAAAACTTAATTAGAGTTTGGCAATATATTTTATTAAAAAGTCATCTTCTTGATAAAATCTAAAGGCTATAAATTGTAATTAGCTGAAGAAGAATATGAAAATTACAACAACATGGGCTAAGAATGACCAACTCAACTTTGTTCAACTTTCCCCCCGGAAACAAACAGATTTAAAATTTACAGTCAAATTATGATATGATTAATTCTATCTTATTCCTTCACTATTTATCAGAGAACAAATTTAAGCTTCCATTGCATTTTTTAACTAAAAAGAGCTGCATATAATATTTGGTTCCAAGTATCCGACATACCCGGAAGGCACCAATGGCTACATTCAGTGCCTCTGTGAAGGCCACTGTATGCGGCCGGGTGAGCGTCTTTCCGATACTGAGAGAGTCCGGTAACGTCGAGCAAATACACTGGTTTCTTAATCCTACTAAGGACCTTCTTCACACCAACCCAAGCCATGGACGTGCCTGCTGCTGCTGGATATCTCGTTCCGAAGAACGGGTGAGTCTGTCCAATACATGATTGTGTTGGTTGGTTCCACTCCTTTCCCCTGCAAATCAACATTTTATCATAAAAATTGCAAAGGAAAAGGAAAATCTATCACAAAGAGTTAAGGTTGCTTACTCATAATGGGTTGGAAAAATACCTTGGTTCTGGAAGGATCAACATCGCGGTTCACCCATCTGGACCACGTTGTTAATCCTTTGTAGTATGCAATCATACGGTTCATATCTTTCCACGTTTTCCCACCCTCTTCCATGTAATCAAATCTGCACAACAAATAATAATTAGTACACTAGATTTTAGTCTGTCCACTGCTATAAAAAAATTAAACAAGGCCAATTTCTAAAAAAGCAAACAATTAAAAGGATAAAACATATTCGTGTAAGTAATTTTTTCTTTTTCATGGAACAAGTAAGATTTCAGTGAAAACAATCTAGCATTAAAATTCATTGTTCAAGAGAGACCAAAATGGTACGTGTTTATTTTTTTGCCCTAAAAGACAAAGCACATGTGTCATTTCAACATTGACATTTCAACATTGACATTTCTTTAGGAATTGTAATATTTCAACATAATAGAACTAAACTATTTTGTTATAAAGAAAAGAGACGAGTGGAGTTTGTTGTTTGAAATATGTGTGAGCGATGGGCGGGGGAACAGAAAAGGGAATGATGTTGATCATACGGTTGGGATCTTCCGCTGTGGGTCCACCAGTGCCAGGTGTTGAAGATCAGAATGTCCCTCTCTTTCCGTTCATCACAATGCTCTTAACTTTAGGGTCGTAAGATCGAGTCGCACGGTGAGTAATTCATAATTTGGAAATCTTCCACTGAAACTGTTCTCAACTTGATGTTGGAGGTAACCTACTATCGCACCTCTCCCTTACCCATTACATATAAGAATAAAGGTGAGCTAATTTTTACCGCCTCTGATTGAGTCCAGCTTCAACACTCTTCCGAAACGTCAACAAGGTACGGCGTTCTATACAGCAATATCTTCACATCATACGACTGCATCAATTATTATATATCTTCACATCAGAGCAACTTATTTTATGTACAAACTATTTATATGATATAAATGAAAAAAATTGAATGAATAAGTTATGATGATTAAATATATATAACTTACTAAAGTTATTTTTTTTAATTTTAATCGCAGCTGATTTGATTGAAATTATTTTAAAAAGTTATACGATCATATTATCAAAATTAAAAGTATAATGATCATATTAACATTAATCTCATAGTTAAATAGTCATTTGAATAGTTTATCCTAAAAATTAATAAAACTATTATTGTGACCCTTTTTATTTTTTTTCAATAATAATGTGAAATTACTTTGTGGTAACACATTAAAATCACTATTAATTTTTATATTACTAAAATAAAATCAAAACATAATATTAGTGTTAAAAAATTAAATGATCAAATCAAAATTAAAATGATAGTTGAGTGATTAAATATGTAGTATATCCTAATCTAAAACATGTATGAATGTGTAACATGAGTATGTGAGGAAAACCACATAAAATTAAGAGCGTCACAAAATTTTAGTCACATGTTTGGTTCATGGAATGTAACATGACTTCCGGGAATAAGATTATCAGAATGTTACATTACCTTATACATTACTGGGAATATTACATTATTGTGTTTGGTTCTTTTTACAGGAATGTATGATTAGAGTGTTTGGTTGAATAAAAGATTACTGGAATACATATTTTATTGAATTGTCCTTATGATATTTTTTTAACAAGTTGAGTTCCAAATATTCAAATGAAAATATTTATATAAAAATTCATAGAAAATATATTATTGTATTATTTTCAATTTATATATTTTTTTATTAAATTTAAATTCATAAAATTTATATAAATTTTTTTACAAAATTTAAAAGATAAATGAGTAGATTAAAAAAGTAAATATACAATATATTCTTTTAATCTTAATTAATATTTAAAAAGTTATGATAATAAATAAATAAATAAAATTCCCGGTTGGAAATATTTTTGAAATAAAGTTATGATAATAAATTTATGATAACATACTATAGCTTTTGAAATAAAAGTAAGGGTATTTTTGAAATAAATCTTTAGTTTCAAGGGCATTTTAATCCAGGTCGAAGGGAAACAAAAAATACCTAAGCCTACCATGAGATTAGTATTCCCGGTAAAATTAGAAAACAAGTTACTGTTGGGAATATTTTATTACTCCACTATTGAGAATCTTGCCCATCAAAACGTGAGAATCACAAGTAGGAAAAAATATTACCACCAGTAAAGTTGAAATCATCCATTTAAACGCCCCCTTACAGTTTTATTTCAGGCGATGTTATATTATCATAAAAATTTGGATTTATTCAACAAATGTTCAGATGGAAATCTAAAAGCATAGAGGCCAAAATAAACATCATGGCCAAAATCTCAAAAAATAAATAAATTAAAATGACCATTTTAATACATTTTGGGAGTTAATTTTGATATTATGCCTAAACAATGATCATCCCATGAAACAATCGGACAATAAGCTTGGTTGGATTAACTAAAAACCCATACATTTAGTGTATCAAAATATAAAGGCCCTACGACTTTATTTCCTCTTATACAAACACCCCCATAGCCTGGCATTGCTCTGCTTCAGTTTCTAAACAACCGACTCAACCATTATACATACATGATGAAGTAGTTTCAATGGCTGGCCAGCCACATTACATCCTGAACAGCGGCAGCGCTGTACATCACACAGCCGAAGAACGTGAAGGCTATCGAGACGGTGACATGATCGCAGAAGCTATCCAATGACTTGCAAAAATTGGGCAACACTGTGTGTCGGATTCCAGTTCGGTTCAGATTGGTTACACCGGACGCCGCCGATCCCGCACTCACCATTGCATATGCCAGTATCTTCAGACCACATAGTCAAACAATACATATACATACACACACGTGATACATTAGCAAATAAAATGTGGGAAATCTGTACCTGATCCCCGGCAAAGACAAGCCAAGCTTGATTTCTCGAGGGAATCGCAGGGGATTTCTTCACAAGCAGCCTTGAAGTGGCAATGAGTAATTGGACCAAAGAGTAAGCTGTTGCAGTGGCTGTTACTCCAACAACATATCTGTACCATGATTTTGTCGGTTACATTCACGGGTCTCATTCCTGTTCAATTCTCAATTGGCTAACTAGAAAACAGACAAAATTGCTTACTTTAACCCATTGGAACCTCAATTTAGGGGTATCTTTCCATTATTTAAATGCCAACTCTACCTTAATTAATCGAGTTTGATATCGTAAAACTATGCATAATGTTAAAAAAAAAAAAGATAAAGCATACTCTTTTGGTTAAAGTACACAATTGGTCCCCCGAATATTAAAAATTATAAAATGATCACTCGAGTATTCGTATGGTCCAAACTTGTTCTTTTTCGTTTAAAAAATTGACGACATCTAACATGTTGACTAAGATATAATAAAATCGGAACACATAATCTCAAATAACTATACAACTCAAACAACTTTGAAATAATATTTTATCATATACTAGTCAACAGGTTAACTTTCAACACAAACAACAATCAATTTTTTAATGAAAAATGACGAGTTTAAAACATATGAATAACCGAATGACCATTTTATTATTTTTTATAATCGAAAAACTCAATAAAATAACTACTATAATCATAGGACTATTTTATAATTTTCAATAATCTAGACTCAATAAAACAACACCATTTATATACTTTACCTATTTTTTATAATTAAGGTTAATCTCGAAATTCAAATACAAAAAAGGAAGAATATAGCAAATTCCAAACATATTTCTGCCTTTGGTCGGTGAAACAAACAAGAGAACATAGATAATAGAAAGATCAAAAGTTCACACACTTCACAGCTCCCCGTTAGGTGTGACCTCCATTTTCCCTTTCATTTTCTTTCCCTTTCTCGGCAAACAAACAGTAGACAAAAAGTTTTTAAAGAAATTAAAAACGAATTTGAAAGTAGCAAAGAAAGATTTTACTTACTCGAAGGAGTAAGAAAAAGACCATTTGGAGTGGAGCTGGAGCTGGAACCCATAGAAGGATGCAACGCTAACCTGACGAGCGGTGACCATGAACGACATGGCTGTCACCGAAGTAGCCATGCACAGCAGCCTGATTGTCAGCACCACCACGTCCCCTTTCGTCAAGGTTTCTCCTACAGTCTTGGACCTTAACCCCAATTCCACACCGAATTCACCTTGCCGCACACACTCCTCCGCCGTCATATTGGACTCCGTCAGCTGCCTCGGCGGAGTGGATGGTGGTGGCGGCAGCGTTTTGTGGCCGCTCATCTTTATCTCCCGAAGCTATGTAACGTACTTTGATAAGTCTTATGTATTTTGTTGTTCAAGATTCCTGGATGCAAGGTGGTGGTGTGAGGGGGTATATAAAGGAAAATCGGGGCGTAACAGGGGTATTAAATTTTAGGCTAAAATACATTAATATTCACTGAACATTTAGGGAACTTTCATTTTGGTCAACAAAAGCGAAATTTTTTTATTGGAGTCACAACTGTGAAGGAAAAAATTCATTTCAGTCGCTATACCATTAAACCGTTAACCGCAGCTGAAGTGGTATGTTAAAAATCCTAAAAAAAAAGCAGCTGAAGTGTTATAAACGGAAAGCGGGTGAATAATTATAATAATAGTACACTTTTTTAGGGTAAACTATGTTGATTGTCAATGAATTTTGGAAAACATTCATTTTGGTCATTTTGGGGTGTATATTATATGATTATTTATTGAAGAATCAACAAATTTTAATAATTTTTCATGTGAGGCTTATTCTAAAATCAATTAATTATCTGATAATCACAAATTAATATAGATTATAAATTTATTAATTTTCTATAACGAGTACATGATGATTTATGGACCCATACATCCTCCTTGTGACCATTTAGAAATTTTATAACTTAATAGATACATCACATGTACCCTTGTTATCAATTTATAACTTATCATTTACAATATTACTTGCTCATTTATTCAAATTGCAAGCAATTTTTTTAGATTTTTTCATAAAGATAATATATTTTAATAATGTTGATAAATTTACATCTTATGTTGTTAATGATTATTGCATGTTTATTGGAATAAATGTTGAATATCTTGTAGTTCATGTTCATACAAAAAATAATCTTGTTGAGTCATTCATCAAATGACTTCAATTGATTGCACAATTAATACTTATGAAATCAAAACTTTTGATTTATACTAGGGGACATGTCATATTACATGCATCATCTCTATTTCGCATCAAGTCAATAAATTATTATAAGTTCCCCTTATTACAAATAATTTTTGGCCGGAGATCAAATATTTTTCATATGGAAATTTTTATACGTGCAATATATGTTCTTATTTCTCCACGACATATAAAGATGCGTCTTGAAAGTAAGTTGAAAATATATGTGAGATTTGAGTCCCCATCAATAATCAAATATCTCGCGTCATAACTGATAATTTATGTTCGATTTGATTTGTCGATTGTTGTTTTAATGAGTTAATTTTTCTAACATTGGGGTGAAAATAAATAACTAAAAGATAAAATAAAATGAAATATTATCTCATTACAATCCATGAATTTAACAATGATAACTTAAAGTTCAAAAGATAATTCATTTGTAAAATTTAACAAATCAATTATCAAATGTCATTATTGACCAAAAATGAGTGACTAAGTTACATATATGAATCTCTAAAGCACAAACTCTAGTAACTAGTGAGTCTAAAGCATAGGGATGACAAGCGGGAACAAATTCGTAGATTCCGCACCGCACCCGCTCCAATTGGGGCGGGGATGGGTATAATTTTAGTGGGTAGTGGGCGGGTGTGGATTTAAAAAGTGGTACCCGTCGCGGGTAGTGGGCGGGTAATGGGTTTGAGACCTTACACGCCCCCCATCCGCACCGCATCCACCCGCCCCGCATCCGCCCGCCCCACATCCACCCGCCCAACTAAATATCCATTAAATTTTGGACCATTATGAATTTAGGTATAATTTTAAGAGACTAATTTATAAATCTTAATATTGTATAAGATATAACTTATAATTTAACCAAATATTAGGGATAAGTTTATGCATAAATTTTTTTCTTTCAAACCTCTCGTTACTGCGCCGATCTTTCAAACCTCTGGTCTCCACTCTCCAGCTTATTAAGGTACGTTTCTTCCCTTTTTACTTGAAATTTAATTTTTGTAAGAGTCATTTCCATAGTTATTTCGTTTTAAGCTACTCTGCATTTCGTTTTAAGAGTATAATTTTTATTTGCTCGTACTGATTTTTAATTATTTTTTAGATTCATCTCAATGTTTGTTTTAAGCTTAATTTCTTAATGTTCTACAAATCAGTATCTTGTGACTGAGCACCCACGTTTTAGACCAACAGAGTCAGATCGTTGCTTCTCAAATCTCCATTTTTAAAGTCACTGAATAGAATTAAGTGTTTCACTCGTGCTTCTCAAACCTCCATTTTTAACGCCATTGAAACTGACTTTTTCAAATTCAAATTTCAACCGAGTATTTTGCAATACTGGTGTTTTATCATGGTGTTTTATGAAAATGATGATTGTAATACTGGAGTATCAGATGTCACAAGTATTGCTTGAAATTTTATAATGTTGTGCCAAAGAACAAAAACATTATGTGTTTGTCATTTATGTTTCTAGACTTTAATTAAGTCTTTTATTATAATGTTTTATGTACTTTAAGATCTATATTAACACTTAACGCAGATAATCATTAGTTTATTTTATTATGTTTTTTAATAGATGTGTTTGTTTTATGTTTGTTGCTTATGTATAACTTAAGTTTGTTGTCAGACGGGTCTAGCTGGGTACGTTTTCAGTGGGTAGTGGGTGTGAGGATGGATTTGAGAATGTACCCGCGTGGGCGGGTGTGAATTTGAAATTTTTTAACCATCATGGGTGGTGGGCGGGTGGTGGATTGAAAAATATTAGGTGAGTATGGGGATGGGGGAGGAGGTATCCGCACCCGACCCGCTCGCTTGTCATCCCTACTAAATCACGCTTGAAGCACAATCTCTAAATCAATTATCAAATGTCTTGTTGTAACAATAGATTAGTTAGTTTGTTATTAGGATGCAGTTACTAGTTTCTTAGTCAAGTTATATAGAAATAGCTGATAGTTTGCTTGTATAAATATTTGTACATGAGTTGTATTTGGAATATAGTTTAATGAATAATATTGAAAATTTGTTCAAATCTTACTCTCTCAACACGGTATCATTCGCCTAAGGTTTGGGCCTGTTGCTATTTGGGTCTCGTGGTTTACGGTTTTTTTCTCTTTGCTTTTGCACCCGTGTTTTCTAAATCTTTCTCGTTTATTGTTTCTCTCTCCTTCTTGGGATATTTGGGGATTAAGGTTCTTATCATGCCTACAACTCCAAAAAAAAAATCAATCTATCGCTGTATGACATATTTAATATACGGTTAACGAAAGGTGTTATCGAAAATGTTAATATTTTTTTAACATTTTCAATAAAACGTTACCTAAAACATTATTTTTTTACCGAAAATATTAATTTTGTTACCACCTTCGCCGATTATCATCCCGATGCTTAACCACGTAGAAGACCTCCATTTTTTTTGAGAATGTTGCAGACGGTGATTGACGATTGTCTACCTTCGAATGATCAAGATTCTATAGAAAAAAAATGACTCTTTATTTAAATTTTGAGAGAGGAGATTAAAATAAAAGTCAAAACATTTTATTTCATTTGGTGACAATGTACTTTTAAAAGGTAAGTATAATCGTACTCTTTAAATTTACTCTTAAACTTTGCTATTAGGGTAACTTTCAATTGTGTTGCTACTGATTCTGAACATCGTGATTCCTCACCTGTAATTAATTCTCGAATTATTCCAATTGAATTTATGGTAAAATATAAATCCGATGAAAAAAATAAAATTCATGTATCTGATTTTATCTAACCTAAAAGGTCGGTGATGATCCCAAAAGAATAAATGCTTTTGACGACGGTTCTGACATGCACATAAACCCTAATCGTTTCTATGTTTGTCGTCTTCTTCAATTCGCTGCTATTATGAGAATTTTCTTTTTCTGTTTGTGCCTTTCTTTTGTCCATTTAAAATTAACTGCTGTCTTTCAGTTTTGTTGTTTGAGATTTGCCTCTTCTCTCCCAGTACTACTTTACAGTTGTTTGAGAAATTAAAAATGATTTTTAATGGGTATATGAGTCAAAACAATCTATAATATTTGATAAAATATAAAATAGTGATATTTTAAAATGAAAATGTACTTTGCTTAATATTTTAAGATGATTATAAATTAATATTTGATCGAAAAATTATTAATTATTTGATAATGAACTCCCCAACACTTTGGTAGACACGTAGTCTGACCCGTGACCTTTAAAAATAAAAATTATCTTTTAATCACTGAAATCGCTTAGTTCGTATAAAATCTAAATGAATTTAAATTGATTTTAATAGATAGTCTCGATTGCCTAACCTAACCTACCGTGGAAAAGGAGAGAGTTTAAGGAAAAACGTCCTAATTTAAGGTTGAGGAAAGGTACGACCGAAAATATTTAAAAAAAAAACATTTTAGGTTGGGACTAAAACAAAAATGTTAACTTTTTATTAATATTTTTTCAATTAAATCGAAAATGCTACTTTTTTTCCTACTATTTTCAATTGACAATAAACAAATTTACATTCTTCATAACATTTTGATTATTTCAATAAAAAATATTATATTTTTTATTACAACTGTTCCATGGTTTCTTAATCTTAAATCAGATCGTCTACGAAAAGGTGGATAATAATTTACCGTTATGAGGTAGTGTGTATTTTGCTTGTGATTATTGTATCGCTGAAATTGAAGAACCAATCCAAATTTGTGGATCGCTTTCTGGACCATGGGAATCCCGCCCATTTCAGTATCATGTCTATCCTTATCACCCTCTAATTTATAAATTAAAATCCATTCATGTAAAATACAATCACTTTTTTAACTCTTTAATTTTATTCTTTAGTAAATAAAGAGGCGTATAAAAATTAAAACAAAAAATAATTAACAACCTGTGCCTGTCGTCGTTCTTTCATCATCAGATAGAATGATTCCCATCTCTTTCATGTACAATTGTAAAAGGAGTTTAACACTTGTTTAGGTAAATATTATTAAACATCAAATAATAATAAGAGGATCGTATATTAAATAATAAAAAACCAAACGTGTAAAATAAATATTGGAAAGTTCATTTTTTTTAATTATTTAAAAGCTACCGGAAGCGAAGTGTTTGTTTATGTATTTATATATAATTTAAAAATAAATTAATTTTCGCTTAAATAAGTGTTGATTTAGTTGCGACAATAACTCATACAAATGTTGAAGTTAGTTATGTTGTTTTGTATAGAACTCTAAAAAGACATGAAAAAGCGGTCGGTCAAAACATTTGTGATAATTCAATTTAACACTTACATAAAAATAAAAATGATTAGATTTGAAGTGAGTTTTGATTTATAGAGGAAAAGAAGGTGTGGAATAGTGCCACGTATATTAAAAAGAAAAAAAAGCGACAAGTCACATGTTAGCAAAAATAGGCAAATAAGTGTTCAAATCCATATCTCATCTTGTGGAGGATAAACCCACCCATCAACCGAGTCAACTAGTATAAACTCGCTTTGTGACTCGAAATTCCCTTCTATGTTGGGTAACCGAACGATTTCACTCAGCTCTTCTGCTTCTTCCGACCCATTGGACTCGGAACAAGTATTGAAATTGACCATGGAAGCAGCTTCAGCGGCGGCAACCTGAATGTCTCGAGGCATTAAAGAAACCGGTCGGGGAAGCAAATCCACCAGTTCCGGGAAGTTGAGAATGGCGGAGTGCCCTTTGATGGTCAAAGCGGCTACGTCGTGAGCACGCGCCGCCATTTCCGGCGTAGCGAAGGTGCCCAGCCAAATGCGAGATTTCTTGCGGGGCTCCCGGATTTCCGACACCCACTTGCCCCAACTCCTCATCCTCACCCCTCTGTAAACTGGGTGTTTGCTGCTTGAATCTCTTCTTGTTGACGATCTTTTACCTTTGGTGTTATTATGATTATGGCTGCTGCAACTCTCCACATTTGATGACGATAAACAAAGGCTTGTTTGTGTCATTTGTGCTCAAGATAGAGTGATCCAAATGCAAAAGTGAGACCTTTTGTACAATTTATATACACTGAAAAATGGAAGCAATAGATGATTAGATATGTGTGTCGTAACCGTCATTCGGGTGGGTCTGGAATTGAGTTTCGACTTAAATAAAGCATGTTAGAGTCGCCACCGATCATGTTTTTAAAAACTAGATTGATCGGACACCTTAATTCACCATCTTACATGATATGTGTTTTACCAAAAATATATTAGATTCGGGAGTCAGTTACAGTCAAGAAAGGATTGACACCCTTGTAGTGCCCTTTCTGTACCATTTTAACTTATCGGTTGTCTTAATTACGAAAATTTAAATTTAAATTTAAATTTAAAAATTCGATTCGAATCACTTACATTTGATCGATTTTAAATGCATCCTAAAAACAAAGCCAGATGATAGTTAAATAAAATAAAATAATGAAAAGGATATAAAAAAGTTTAAATTAGGGCCAAAATAAAAATAAAAATAAAAGGCTAAATTGGAAAATACGAGGAGTTAAAGGTCATATTGAAGTTAATTGGGGAGTTGCAATGAAAGAAATAGGAGTTACGTATCCAATTTGTAAAAATATAAAAATAAAAACAATGATTAAATTGAATAAATTTAAAATTCGGAGGCAAAATTGCACATGGTGATCAAAACGACTTACGTATCAAAATATCAGAGACTGCTGAAATAATTTAACATTAGTTAATTACATAGTGGTCCCTCGGCTATAAATACCCCAAAACCCAAAATAATTTCATTTTAAAACCCAACTTTAAAAAAAAAACTCAAAAAACACTCTCCCCCATCGTCTCCTCCGGCCGAACACCGACCTTCCCACCGCCATAGGAATCCTAAAACTACCCAAAATGGTCTCATCATCGTCCTAAAGCTAACCTCGATCCCCGATTTCCCAACTCGAACCTCAAACGATACAAATCTAAAGAAAACCGTTCAGTTTTTTTTACCTTAGTTCGGCGGTGACTCTTCGTTTTCCAACGAGCTTTGATGAAATAGGGCCTTTGGCTTTGAGTGTTGCCTTCGGTTTCTTAGTGTTTTTGTTGCTTTGTGGTTGTGATTGTTTTCTTGGTTGTTCTTCGTGTCCTCACTACTTTATTTTGCAGGGTATTTATAGGCCCCCCGTCGGGGTCATTTCCTGTTGCTTCAGGTCATTCCCGGTTGTTTCAGGGTTGTTTTTGGTTATTTCATGTTTGACCGAAGATCTCGGATGGTCCAGTCCGAGTTGCTCTGATCTTCGGGGTTTTTTTTCGGTTGATCGAAGATCTTGGATGGTATCGCTGAAATCTCGACCGAGTGGTAATCTTGTTGGCGCGTGATTCCCACATGCTGCCATCGGTGGCTCTCGAGCTTTTGGAACCTTCTTGGATTTGATCTCGACCGTTGGATTGGTTGCATATCCAATGGTCCAGGATCGACTGTGGTGTGATGATATTTTAGGGTTAAACAAACCCTAGCTCTCTTACAATTATGGCCGTTGATCTCCATCTCAATCTAACGCCCCTCATTTATGCGGCGCTAGACTTGATGATGAAACCCTAGTGGCTTGGGCTTGTTTCTTGGGCCTCTGGTTTTCCACGGTCTGTTGGGTCATACTACCCAATTGGGCTCCGTTTTTGGACTTGGATCTTTGGGCCTAAAAAACAAAAATGAAATAAATAAATAAATAAATAAAATATAATGTAAATAAAAAACATATAATAAAAAAATGTGTTCTAAAAAATATTTTTTAATAAATATATTTTCGAAACTATGTATTATATATATTTCCAAAACGTTTTAAAACTATATATTATATATATTTTCGAAAAATGTTTTCAAAACTATATATTATATAAATTTTTTTCAAAAAATGTTTTCAAAACTATATATTATATATATTTTCAAAAATGTTTTCAACACTATATATTATATATATATTCAAAAAAATTCTCAAAACTATATATTTTATATATATTCGAAAAAAATGTTTTCAAAACTATATATTATATATATGTTATGTGTATATTAAATAAAACCCCGGACGAAAATGAGTGACTACAAAAAAAATTTAGCTGACCCTTTTTCCCATATATAATGGGGTAAGTGGGAGGTATGATAATAGGCTGCCCCCGACGCCAGGTTGAGAGCAGCTTCCGTGGGTAAACTTATAAAATCGAAACAAATCATTATTATATTTATATTTAAAAGAAATAAAAATATATTTAAATTTTTAAAAAAATACCATCTATAGCATTCCTTTACTAGAAGGAGGTGTTTTTTTCTTTTTCTTTTTGTAAGATAGAAAATGGGAACTATTGTTTAAAGTGACCCTTAAACTACCACTATTTTATTATCACAATAACTTGCAAGAAAACAAAAAGATTTGTAAATTAGTTTCTGAACCTTTTGTAATTCATAATTGGATGTTCATTAATATCGAGTCATTAAAAATTGAATGACTTAATTGATGTGTATGAAGTTATTAATTAATATTAAGAAAACATTCGATTTGATCATACTGATTTAGTATCACATCAATAAGCATTCAAAATGGAATCTTTTCTTTAAATGTCAAATCTTTAGAGTGGATTTACATATTAACCCAACAATTATAAGTTGGTGAAATAGAACAACAGCAATAGAAAAAGGATCCAAATGAAGATGGGTCCAGCTTTGTTGGTTGAAAGTAGAATACAAAACAAATGTAAACAAGTGATGTTTCAAACCCCTAAGGGTGCGTTTGGTTCACGGAATATAAGATTACCAGTGGGAATGTAAGATTACCAAGGAATAGCATTACTGGGAATGTTGTATTTTGTGTTTGGTTGGCTTAGCAGGAATGTAAGATTACCGTGTTTGGTTAAAGGAATAAAAGATTATTGAAATGTATATTTGACCAAATTGTCCTAATTATATATTTGTGTAATATTACAAGTTGGAAAATATTTATATATTTTCTTTAAAAAAATTAAATTCATAATATTTATATATTTTTTACAAAATTAAAAATAAAAAAAAAGTTTAATGAAAGGGTAAAATTTTATTTAAACCCTTGAACTTTATATAAAATTTTAATTATAGATTTTTTTTTGTAAATCTAAAATAATTTAAGGATAAATTTGTAATTTAACATTCGTAAAATTTTTATTATTCGATGACAGAATAAATATATTTTTGAAAAAAAAATAAAAAATTAAGGGCATTTTAGTCCAAAACGCCGGTAATCCAACAATACCTAAGGAAAGGGAGGTAATGACATTCCCGGTAATATACCCCAAAAAATCCACTATTGGTAATCTTACATTACCGGGAATAGGATTCCCGGGCTAACCAAACGGGGGAATGTGGATTCCATTCCCATGAGAATCCCACATTCCCCAATCCAAACACCCCTAAGTGTCGATGTTTTGTTAGCCTTTGCCATTCATTACATGTCCACGTCTTCCTCGTCCTCCCTTTACCATTTTGGGCTTCCAATCCACTTCCTTTGCCCTCTTTCGTCCTATTCAAAGTTTCATCATCATCTATAGTTTTCGTCATTTTCACATGCATTTTTTTCCTATTCACTTGTCCACAACCTGTATATATGTTAATTTCATAAGCAACTGTATCTGCTTCATAACCTTTTGATTGTTGATATGCTTAAGATCAATTGACATAGTGGCAAAATGGCTAGAGAGGAGACAACACAACTCCATGGGTAAATCCATAAGTTGTAAATAGGGTTGAGGCAACTCTAGTTTTCATAGAGGTGTCTCGATAATTTTTAAGACAGACATCTCAACGTTATCAGTGAGCAACAGAAGTATTTCATTGTTATCAATGGACAACATAGACATTTTAACTCATCTAGCCGGTTAATAAAGTGAAGGTATTCTTCCTTTTAAGATATAATGAAGGCAACTCAATGCTCTCAATCAGAGAGAAGACATCCACACTATCATAGTATAGTGAATGTGTCTTAACGTCATAATAGCATGACAAAGGATATAAAACATTCTGTCCTAGTGTAAAAAATCTTTTTAGAATCTTAGTACGTAAATGGAGGAAGAACTTTGGTCCTTATATGTACTAGAAATGTTTGTGTTCTACACAATTTGCTAAAAAAAGAAGTTTTTCCTTGGCTTTATTTATTAGTAGATGAGTTTTCTTCTGTGATTTATCTTTCCTAAATTGTAAAGAGTTTAATCTCATCTAATCTAAGGTTAATTATGCTAATGAGTTTACCTAGATGAGTTCTTAATTCATAAAACTAATGGAAAGGTTGCTCTTATATCTATTAGCTGCACAACGATTATTAGTCACATGTGTAGTTTATTTTTTTTTTAAACTACCTTTGGTGTTGTGATATCATCGAGGAGATGAGTATCCTTGGCAACAACATCCATCACTTCTTTATAGACGTGTCATGTGAGTTTATCAACCTTTCTTTCATGTGGAGCAGTGTTGATGCTTGATGGAGGTGCATGCTAACCTTTTCGTCCATATGTTCATACTATTGTCTTGGTGGAGGTTATGTAAGGTCTGAACTACAATGGGTGAAGAGGACATGCTTTGTAAAACGAGGCCTTGATCGACGTTGCCTTCTCATTTCTGACGCTCGTAGGGAGAGTAATCTAAGTGAGAAGAGCACGTCACGCTATCTTGTTGAAATAGTGGTTGTAAAATAGTTCATTGTTAGTTAGGCAATTACATTGTTAATTCAATAGTTGTAGTCTACCTATATAAATAAATCTTTTGGCAGATTAATGGAAGTACAAGTTTACATAAACCTTTCTTAACATGGTGTCAATTTGCGAGGATTTTTTGGTTTTCGGCCTGTTTCTCGATCCAGTCCTTTGGCCCATTTCGTTTTTCAGGTCTTAGTCAGTGGTTGTGGCTTCTCTAGAGTTTTCCCCCCAATTCTTCGTTTCTCTTCTCCTCTCCTCAATTTCTTCTTTCTGAGTTTCGTCATTCATGGCTCCGATGGAGGTTTCTGATATTGATTTCACTCACGTCCTCTATCTCCATCCCTCTGAC